TTTCTGGATCTTCATCTGGTACTTCTGGATCTTCATCTGGTACTTCTGGTTCTTCATCTGGTATTTCTGGTTCTTCATTTATTTGTGTTAAATCTTCTTCTGGTAAAGAAGGATCATCAATTGGTAATGTAGGTTTATCAATTGGTGATGAGGTATTTACTAAAAGTGATTCACGTTTAGTTAACATATCGTCTGAATTATTGTTCTCAAATAATAGCTCATATTCATCATCATTAAAATAACCAGCTGATTTTTGATTTAAATCACAACATTTTTTTACATTACGAATTTTTCTAAATGATAATGAAATATCTTCTAGAATGTCTGTTAAATTCGATTTAAAGATTGATAAGTATCTTCTTCTAATTTTATGGAAGTTAAATTGTAAATCATTTAATGATATTGTAAACTGTGACAAGTTTATCTTTAATACTGATTCAATTGTACATTTCACTATTTCATATGTATCTTCCTCTAAATCATACTCTTCTACTATTAAAAATAAATTTTCTGGTATTGTTTTTATACTTTGTAAAAATATTCTAATTATATCTGAAAATCTATTTTCAAATCTTGTAAATAAATTTCTATGATAATCTTCAAGATCATAATCATACATTTCTAGTGAGGTGTCCGTTAGTATTTTACTGATAATATTTGTTAAATCTGTTATTAACAATTTTAAAGCTTGTTTAATTATTCTTGATTCTTTGCTTCTTAATCTTTTAGTTATTTCATCTGCTTGTCCAGGTGTAATTATTTCAGAAAGTCTATCATGTAGGTATGTAAAGCACGTATTTGTAAAATCTGGTAGGTTGATTATAAATTCTCTTAACTGGCGTCTATAATCCTGTCTGATTCCGGTAATATATGAATTTAACTTTTCATTTATACTTCTTGCTGTAAAATCAACTGTTTTTTGTAAATTTCTATATAGATCAATTTCATCTTGATTATCAAGATCAACTAAATATCTTTTTTCTTTATTCTTATTTGTAGTTGTAAAAAGTGGTATATTATGATTGGCTCTACTTTGAGATCGGGCTGTATTTAAAATCAAAAGAAGTTCATGAACTAATTCCTTTTCCAGGTTGTTACTATGACTATAATTAAAAATTATTTGATCAGTATTTGCTAATATATTAGCTATGTTGTAGAATATTCTTAGTAATAATATATTCATGGGTAATCTTTTATATATTTTCTTTTATTTTTCATAATGTTCTAGAATATAATTTTTTTTCTATTTTTAGAAACAAATTATTAAATGAAATTTTTATTCATTAAATGGATTTATATTAGTATTAGCTAAATCATATGAATAATATGTTATTTCATCATAAGTTGTTGTTAGGGTATATGTCTGATAAAATGTATTTGTTGTATTTTGTTTTTCTTTAAGAGTTTTATTTGGTTCATTCCTTATACTTTTATTATTAATTGTTTGCGTTTCTTTTATTGATTTATCTTCATTGTTTTTTATTTCATTTGATATTAAATTTGTATTTTCTATTAAATTTTTAATTAGAACAATTGAAATTTTTTCTTTAAATTTTGTGAGTAATTTTGATCTTATTTGTTTAAGTAAAGTTTTAAAATTAAAAACTTCATCTTCAAGTGATTCTATAACGTTTTCATGAATAATTTATATTAACTTGTTATCTTTTTCTTTTTGATTATTATTATAAAATTCTTCAATTAAAATTTTTGTTTGTTCTTTTACTGATTTAATAAAATTTTTTATCAAATTATAAAAGTTCCTATAAAATGATCGAAAAAAACTCCACTGTAGATGTCATCTAAGTTATTGCCAAAACTAACATTTGTTAAATGGATAAAAGTTTTTGTGAAATTTTTTAAAGCGTCTTGTATAAGATCTTTTTCTTTAATTTGATGAATAAGTATAAATTCTTTTACTAACGGGTTTTCTATATCATCTAAAAGTCTATTATAACAATCAGTTGCAAAATTTGGAATTTGTGATATAAAATTCTTTAATTCACTTTTAAAAGATCTTTTTATCTCTTTTATAAATTCTTGTGTTTCATTTTTAACTAAACAATCTGATTTGTATACTTTTTCTTTAAGTTCTCTAAAATTTTCAATGTAATTAACATAGCAAGTGCATTCAAAACACTGTATAAAATTCATTAATTAAATTTAAAAACATTCTATTTTATTTAATTAAATTTTTATAAATAAAACAATAAAGATTTAAAGAGTTTTTTATTTTATTATTGTATTCGGTATAGCTAAATGATTTGTTTAAAAGAAATCTTTATTGTTAAACATATTTTATTTTAGAAATCTTCTTTTGAGCTTTTTTAAACCCAACTTTAGAAGTTTTTTTTCATTTATAAAAGTGTATATCTTGCTTTTGTGTGTATAAGTATTGTATGTGACACAAAATTTTTTATTTATAATAACTTTTTACCGTTTTTTCTGAATTAACAAAGAAGTTTAACTAACATTCATTAGTTTCAATTAAATAATTAAAACTAATTGCATCATCAGTTGATATTATTGTAACAGTTAATATGAAATTAGTTAAGATAATTAATTTTAAGATGAATTATAAAAATAAAATTTTTTTAATAATCATTTTTGTTTTTTTTTCTCACTAACAAACCTCTAATTATTATATATTATAACATATTTATATATTTTTAATAATAATTTTTATATAATATTCATTGATGTTTATCAATCATAATAAATATTTTAAATAATTTTATTATTTAGAATACAAATTTATCATACTTATAATCATATTACAAAAATTGTTCAAAAAAGAATCTTCAACTAATTTTTTTATTTAAGTATAAAATCATCTAAAAAAAATGAACATTTTCAAGATATGTTTTAATTGAATTTTAATTCAAAGTCTAAGAATTTTCTAAATATAATTTAAAGTTTAGTTGATGAATATTAATGATAATTTTTAAATTTTAAATATTATTTTATATAATAAATACTTTATTAATTTTTACTTTAAAAAACACTTTCTCTTTTATAAAAACATTAAAACATAGTCTAATTTTTTTAATATAATAAAATTCTTTATTTATATAAATTTCTTTTTAAAATCTTTTTTGTTAAGTTTATTTTCTTCTCTTAAACAAATTTTCATATACAGTATTGCTCAAAAAAACGTGACCACTAAAATTTTTTTAAAATATATTGTTATTCAGTATTATATTAAAATTTTTTTAATAACAGTATATATTTAAATAATAAACACAGCTAATTTCAAAAAATAATTATAAATTTTATGCAAGGAGAAAATCTTTACAAAATTTTTTTAAAAAAAATTGTCCAAAAAAACGTGACCAGAATTAAATTTCCCTCCAAAATAAATTTTTAAACAGTTTTTAATTATAGACCCATGACTAATCACATTACATATGAAGTTAAAGTCTTAATTAAAGATGACTTAATATAGGGTTTAAGTCAAAGAGAGGTGGCTCTTAAAAGAAAGGTTAGTAAAACCTTAGTATGCAATATTAAAAAAAAGTTAAAAAATGGAACACCACTGGGAAAGAAATTTGGTTCTGGACGACCTGAAATATTGTCTGATGAATTAAAACGTCAGTTATTCTTGATTTATGATAAAAATCATAAAGAATCTTGCCTAAAGATTACACAGAAATTTGTCAAAAAGTTTAATGTACAAATTTCAAGACAAACTGTGTCAAGAATTCTATCTGATTTTGGTTTAGTTACTGCCAAACCAGCGAAAAAACTACTCTTAAGACCTATTAATATAGAAAAAAGACTTAATTTATCAGAAAAATTTTTAGGGATTTCACATGAAACCTTAAAAACAATAATTTTCACTGATGAGTGTAAGTTTAATCTTTTTAATAGCGATGGTATTAAGTATGTGCGTTATTTTCCTGGACAGAGGTATAAACCTGAAAATACAATTCCTACAATCAAACATGGAGGTGGATCAATAATGGTTTGGGGATGTATCTCATATGCCGGGGTTGGAAGAATTGTTTTTATTGAAGAAACAATGACAGCTGCAGTGTATAAGCAACTTTTAGCTAATAACTTGAGACAATCTGCTTGTGAAATGGGTCTTGAGGAATTTATCTTAATGCAAGATAATGATCCTAAGCATACCTCAAAACTTGTTTCCAACTGGTTAGATGAAAAAGAGATTCGAGTTTTAGATTGGCGACCACAGAGTCCAGATTTAAACCCTATTGAGGCAATCTGGGTTCTTGTAAAGTGTAAATTAGCTCAATTTGGTAAATTTAAAAAAGATGAATTGAAAGAAAAAATAAAAGAGATTTGGTATAATATACCAGTTAATTTGATCATGAAGTATGTTAATAGTTTTCAGAAGAGGTGTCTAGAGGTGTATAAAGCAAAAGGCTATAACACTAAATATTAAATTTAATTCTGGTCACGTTTTTTTGGACAATTT